TAATTATTGTTGCTAAAAATTTTTATGTTTTACTTTTTTCTTGATGCTGAAAAATTTTGATGATGAATGAGATGTTTCTTTGAAATTTTTGTTCTGTGTTCATAAGTATTTACAACTGAGTGATTCTCTTTAGATTAAGTGTCTTGGTCTGAACTGTCATAACAAAACGCCATCAGCTTTATTGCTTACCCCCCAAAAAAACATTTATTTCACAGTTCTGGAGGATGGAAAATCCCAGGCAGATGTTGGCAGGTTCCTAGTCTCCTGCCAGCTGGCAAGTGAGCATCTTTCAGCAGTGTCCTCAACATGCAGAGAGAGACAGAAAGAAAACACTTTGATCTTTTCCTGTCAGGGCATTTAACCCCATCAGGGGGGTCTTAACACTTCAGACCTCATCTAAACCTAATTACCTCCCAAAGGCCCCACCTCCTAATTTCATATTTGAGGGGGACACATTTAGTCCATGATAGTAAGATTATAGAACACTACTTTTTTTATTTGACAATTATGTCCTGATCATTTACAAATGTTAACACACCTAATACTCCTAACAACCCCATGAGGCTGGCATTATGATTAGCTCTTTCACAGAGGAGAATCATGAACAAAGAGAGGTGAGAAAAATTGCAGTGATTGTGAGGCAAGCTGAGTGGTGGAGCTGAGGTCTCAGATGATGAGGGGAGCTGAGTGGCAGAGCTGAGGTTTCAGACCAGACAGCCTCACTGCGCCATCTGTATGCAGCACCCACAGGGACACCGATCTCCGATTCCCCGGGCAGACCAGCTGTGGCTTCCCAGTCCTTCCCACATTCTCACAGCAGTGGCAGAATATCTCACATATCCTGGAGGTATGTATCCCCTGAGGAAAAGCTAGACCACATAGGCCTACAGTTTAATTTAAGAGGGGGCATGGCAGAGAGGGGGCTCCTCTCTTCACTGGAGAGGAGCCAGTGAAATTGATGGTGAGAAGAATATCTGTGAAGAAGCTTAGCTAAGTGGACTTTGAATGCTTTATTGGCATTCTTACGGAACTAAAAGCATGTTGATACTTATTTCGGGAGATGCAGTCAACCCCAGGATGCAGGTAAAGACAGGTGACAGGAATGGAATTAAATTAGGAATCTGCACGTCAGAGACACACGTGTTTGCACGTAGTGAAGTGAACAGGCAAAGCCACACATTAGACTCCCCTTTGGGCACCTAAGACCTTTCCTGTCCAGGGACGGCTCTAGAAACGGTGTACCTCCCCAGCCCAGCACGCTCCTTCACAGCTCCCTGGTAACCTCCACGAATCAAGACAGAGCGGCTTCCCCACAATGAAAAGGTGCTATTCCCAGAACATCTCAGGTGTGAGGACGTCCAGGATCTCAGAGAGGAAGCTGGGAGATCACAACGACTATCTTAAAATTAGCATTCGCTGTCCAGTCCCCCAGCACACTGTCTGCTGCAGCAGAACTCAGCACCCGGCTGTATTTACTTAAGATAATAAAAATGAAGGAACAAGACTAACGTTCCTACAGGTAATCTGAGATGACAGATGCATTTACAGACTACATTCATTTCAGAGATGAATGAAACCTGGGGAACACGAGTTAAGGAGAAGAAGGAGCTAGGTAGAGAGGCTGCCGTTTCCACCTTAACTCTTCCAATGCCCGTGATGACTTTCAAAGAAGAAACTCTCTCCGGTCCCTACACGACCCATGGGCCCGCATGGAGGTCACCAGCGCCCACAACCTCCTCCTCCCAGGCAGTGACTCCAGCGTGGCCAGAAACTCCCTGTCCACCTTGGAATCTGGGTAAGGTGACCAGATTTTAATATTGGTAAAGTGGGACACCATTGACAGAGGGGCCGGGGGGTGGGGGGACCTGACAACAATGCAAACTTTGATAAGCAGTACTTGATAATCAGTTCTCAACAATTATTTGTTCTTATTAAAGTTTAACATTATAAAATAAACAAAAATAATATAAAACTCATATCCTGGTGAAATAGCCTCATGGCAACTGAAAACCATATATTCCCTTCCTGTTCTCCCGCGTTCCCTAGCTTGTTGTGCATTCTTTCCAAAAATAGGGACTTTTTAAAAACGCCAGAGGACGCAGGACAAATTGTTGAAAATCAGGACTGTCTTGCCAAAAGTGGGATGTCTGGTCACCTTACTCATGCCTGTAATCCTAGCACTTGGGAAGTCGAGGCAGGTGGATTGCCTGAGCTCAGAGGTTAGAGACCAGCCTGAGCCACAGTGAGATCCCATCTTTAAAAACAGGCGAGTGTTGTGGTTGGCACCTGTAGTCCCAGCTACTTGGGAGGCTGAGGCAAGAGAATCACTTGAGCCCAAGAGTTTGAGGTTGCTGTGAGCTGTGACACCTCAGCACTCTACCAAGGGTGACAAAATGAGACTCTGTCTCAAAAAAAAAAAAAAAAAGTCCATATTTTTCACAGCTACAACTTCAGAACCTAGAACAGTGCTTAGCACACAGTAAGAGCTAAGGAAATTGTTCTTGGTTGACTAAGTGATCTATTCCTTGATGCATATCTGTAGCCCAGTTCTTCACCCTCAGCTTAGGTCCCTGTGCCCACCTTCTTCTTGGACATTTCCACTTGTGTGATGCACAGGACTAATAGCACATCACAACCACCAGAATGGCCTCAATCAAAATGATAGACGGTAGCAGGTAGTGCTGAAGATGTGGGAAAATCAGAACCCACATACATTGCTAGTAGGAATATAAAATGTCACAACCACTTTGAGAAATAACTTAGCAGTTTCTTTAAAAAATTGAACAAAAACGTCCCCTAGGCTTGGCACCCTTGGCACGGTGGTTATGGCACCAGCCACATACACCAAGGCTGCCAGCCTGGGCCAGCTAAACAATGATGACAACTGCAACAAAAAATAGCTGGGCATTGTGGCAGGCACCTATAGTCCCAGCTACTCAGGAGGCTGAGGCAAAAGAATCACGTAAGCCCAAGAGTTTGAGGTTGCTGTGAGCTGTGATGCCACGGCACTCTACCCAGGGTGACATAGTAAGACTCTGTCTCAAAAAAAAAAAAAAAATTTCCCCTAAAACCCAACAATTCCATCTATCCAAGAAAAATAAAAGCATGTGTCCATGGAAAGACCTGTATGGGAATATTCATGGCAGCATTTTTCATAATGAATGAAATAATCCAAATGCCCATCACTCAGAGAGTGGGTAAACAACTGTGGTACATCCATACAATAGAATGGCATTCAACAGTAAAAAGGAAACATCTACCAAACTATGCTGCCATGTGGGTGACCTCAAAAATATTTTGCTAAGTAAAAGAAGCTAGACACAAAAGGCCACAGAGCTTACAATTCCATTTATACAAAATGTTCAGAAAAGGCAAATCAATAGAGAATTAAAATAGATTGGAGATTGCCTCAGACTGCGGTGGCACTGGGCAAGGAACACAAATGGGCACAAGGGATCTTGTGGGGGGTGGAAATGTTCTGAAACTGGATTTCAGTGATGACTGCACAACTCTGATTTTATGAAAAGTCATTGAATTACACACTTAAAAAGGTGAATTTTGTGGCATGTAATTATACCCCACGAAACTGCTAAAAAGGAGACCATTTTATTTATTTATTTATTTATTTATTTAGAGACAGAGTCTGACTCTGTCACCCTGGTTTAGTGCCATGGCATCGTATCTCACAGTAACCTCAAATTCTTGGACTCAAGCTATCCCCTCACTTCAGCCCCCTTAGTAGCTGGGACTACAGGCACCTGCCACCATGCCTGGCTAGTTTTTCCATTTTTGGTAGAGACAGAGTCTTGCTCTTGCTCAGGCTGGTCTCAAACGCAATCCACCTGTCTCAGCCTAGCAGAGTGCTAGAATTACAGGCCAGTCAGGAGACGCTTTTAACTTTCCCTGCAAACCCCCCTTTGAGGTGTCCTGTGCTTGTCCTAACATGACAATAGGTGCTTCCTTAAATTTTGTACCAAAGTTTCCTTGCTTGCCTCAGCCTTGTCCTGGTGCTTATATACCCAGATTCCCAAACTAGGGATTATTTCCTTTTTTCTTCTTCTTCTTTTTGTCTTTTAGAGACAGCTTCACACTCTGTCACCCAGGCTGGAATGCAGTGGCAAGATCATAACTCACTGCAGCCTCAAACTCCTGGCCTCAGGTGATCCTCTTGCCTCTGCCTCCTGAGTAGGTGGGACTAGAGTAAGGTGACCAGATTTTAACATTGGTAAAGCGGGACACCACTGACAGGGACGGGGTCTGGGGGGGCAGGGCCTGACAACAATGCAAACTTTGATAAGCAGTTCTCAATAATCCATTCGCAACAATTATTTGTTATTATTAAAGTTTAACATTATAAAATTAACAAAAATAATATAAAACTCATATCCTGGCGAAATAGCCACATGGCAGCCAAAAACTATATATTCCCTTCCTGTTCTCCCGCGTTCCCTAGCTTGTCCTGCATTCTTTCCAAAAATTGGGACTTTTTAAAAAACGCTGCAGGATGTGGGACAAATTGTTAAAAATCGGGACTATCCCGCCAAAAGCGGGAGGTCTGGTCACCTTACTGGTGGGGGGGGCTACTTGTTTGTTCCAGACAGTTTGGCTCCTTCTGAGCTAATTGTCCTTGCCTACAAGCAAGGGAGGAAGCAGTCTCCTTCTGATACCTTGCCCAGGAGGGGAGTAGGGAGTTTACATTAGCCTTTTCATTTCCAAATGAAGTTACATTAACCTCTTCATTCCCAAATGGAGTTACATTAACCTTTTCAGCAGCTGAAAACTATATTCCCTTCCTATTCTCCCGCTGTTCCCTAGCTTGTCGTGCATTCTTTCCAAAAATTGGGACTTTTTTAAAACGCCACGGGACGCGGGACAAATTGTTAGGAATCGGGACTGTCCCGCCAAAAGCGAGACGTCTGGTCACCTTAAATCTGGGGCCTGAGAAGGACATCCAGGGTCAGAGTCCGCAGCAGTAGCTGGGGGAGAGGGGGAGGAGGAAGAGAACTGGGGGAAGGCGGGGTGAGCTGCAGCGGCGCCTCCTCCGGCCTCTGCAATACTCGCAGCTCCGGGAATTCCCCGGCCGGCGGCTCGGGCTTTCCCGGCCCAGCTGCGCATAAAAAGGGTGCCCGGTTCGGTAGCCTCAGAGCTCGGACCTCAGCGCCACAGCCCGTTCGCCGTTCTCGCCGCTGTCCCCGCCTGTCTCCGCAGTCCTCGCCGCCGTCCCCACCGCTTTCCAAGCCGTCTTCGCCGCTGTCCGGGTCGTCTTCCCCGCTGTCCCTGTCGCCTTCTCAGCCTTCTCCGCGGTCCTCGCCACCTTCTCTGCGCCCATGGCCCGCGCTGTCCCCCGCACACCCCGGCTCCTGCGGGCCGCGCTGCTGCTCCTGCTCCTGGTCGCCGCCGGCCGCCGCGCAGCAGGTGGGACCCGCGTCCTGGGACTGGGCGGGCAGGCTCCGGGGCGCGAGCGGGGACAGCGCGGCTGACCGGTCCCTTCTCCCTTAGGAGCGCCCGTGGTCGCCGAGCTGCGCTGCCAATGCCTGCAGACCATGCAGGGCATTCACCTCAGGAACATCCAGAGTGTGAAGATGACGCCCCCGGGCCCCCACTGCGCCCAGACCGAAGTCGTGTGAGTGTCACCATCCTCCCCTGCACTCCTGACCACCCCCTCCACCCCTCCCCACCCCCCGACCTCCTGGCTCACCGGACCCTCCCTTCTCTCCGCAGAGCCCAGCTCAAGAACGGGCAGGAGGCTTGTCTCAACCCCGCGGCCCCCATGGTCAAGAAGATCATTGAGAAGATGCTGGACAGGTGAGTGCGGGTTTGGTCTGCA